AAAAAAAAAAAAAAAAGAATTGCCAGTGGAAAAAGAATGCATGTCAGAATAAATTCCAAATGGTTTAGAGATCCAAATGTTAAAAGAGAAATGGAGGGAAGTGGGGGAAGGACAGGACAGGATGAGGGCTGCACAAGTGCTAGAAGCAAAGAAAAACCCTTTATAACATGAGTGTGGGGAAAACCTTAACTATGGCTAAAAATCCAGATGCAATAAAAAAGGTGTACGTGAAAACACATCAATCAGTACATAAAAGTAAATCTTGGCATATCATTAAAACACACCATAGGCAAAGTCATAAGACTAATGACAAGTTGGAAATAAAAATATTCTCAACTTATATTAGAAACAAGGGGATAATGTCCCTAGTATATAAAGAGAACCCTTAAATTAATATTAATTTTTTTTAAAAGACCAAAAATACACTAGAAAAACAGGCAAAACACACAAATAGAACACACACACTCAATGAGAAAGTAAAACACATAAAAAGATGCTCAATCCCATTCATAAAAGAGATACGAATTAAAACTATACCAAGATCCCAGTTCTCATTTAACTTGTTTGGCAAAAAATTTAATTTTGACAACAGGTGCCCTTGAAAAGGCTGTGGAAAACAGGGACTCTCTCCTATATTGCTGGTGGGAATGCAAAATAGCACAACCCCCTGGAGATAGATAGATAGATAGATAGATAGGGCAATATACAGCAAAAGTACATATACTTTTACCCTCTGGACTATGCGTCCACAGTGTTAGTAAAAAAAAAAATAGAATCATTTATTACCATTGCAAATTATTGATACATCAGCTCCTCATTCTGAAAATTAGTAATTAAAGGGAAAGAATTAAACCTATAATTAAAGGGAAAGAATTAAGCCTGCTTTTTAAAGAGGATCTGTAGAGGGGAAACCTTTCTTTACAAAAGAATGCCACCTAATAGAGTTCAGAAGGGGAAACTGAACTCAGAAGAATGCCACCTAATAAAGAGTTCAGAGGGGAAACCTTTCTTTACAAAAGAATGTCACCTAATAAAGAGTTCAGAAAAAAAAATATTTGGATGGATAACCAGATAGATAGATAGATAGATAGATAGATAGATAGATAGATAGATAGAGTAAATAAGTCAAAATGTTAATGATTACTGAATCTGGATGGTAGACATATGGACATTCATTATGCTAGTCTTTCCACTTTTCTATAAGTTTGAAATTTTTCATAAGAAGCTTTAGAGAAAAAACAAAAAAATACAAGATTAAAAATGGAAATCTTAAAAAAATCGTAAGAATAACTGGAATAATATGTGGAAAAAGGAACAATGACCACTAATAAATAATGAGAATCCTTGGGCTGGCCGAGTGGCACGTTGGTTAAGAGCTGGCTTGGGATTCCAGAGGGCCCCAGTTTGGATCCCACATATGAGGGCCAGTGACTCTGCCCTCTACAGCTAAGATGCTGAACAACAGCTCAACCTGGAGCTGGGCTGCCGTGAGTCGCCGGCGNCCGTGAGTCGCCAGCAAAGACGTAGGCTGCAGCCCCTGCTGCGGTGGGTTGCCATGGGCTACCGTGTGTGGCCAGCAGCCAGCGTAAGCGGCCAGCAGCCACAGTGAGCAGCCGTCCAGAAGCCGGCGACTGTTCTGCCTCGCCCAGGAAGAGCGCAATGATGGTGCCAACTTGGGCCAGTGAAGCAATGTCCTTCACAACTAGACTTAAGAACAAAACGACAGCAACTTGTATGTTCCCATCCCCCAGTTCCTCAATAAAAATCTTCAAAAAAAAAGCATCCAATGTGCTATAACTTAGACTTTGGTTGTTTTAGAAGTTTATCTCCCCCTCATGCTTCTCCCTATACAAGCCCTTCCCTCCACAGCTATAATTATCATTAAAAAGATTACAAATTAAATGGATATGTCATGTTACCTTGCATTTAAAGAGTATAAACAAATATTCTTTTTCTAACTTCTAAAAATTTCAACTAAAGTCTACATTTAAATAGCTTCCCATTAATCTCTATAAAATATTATTTTAGTTAATTGTTTAAAAGTTTGTATCCCAATTGTCTGTCTTTTCAGGCTTCATGTGTCTAGTATTTTATTTAAGGTGTAATGCTGCCGTAGGTACTTTTTATCCTGGACACAATCTGTCATGAACACTAACTTGTGAATTCGCTACAAGAAGGATCCAAATTGAAAGCAAAGTACAAGTTTCTTTTTCAAAGACAAATCACTTTATCAAGAGAAAAGTGATTGAAGTTCAATTTATTGGTTAAAGACAGTAGTCATGATAGTGAATTCTCCCCCACACACCAATCTCCGAGCTCAACTTTTTTTTTTTTTAAAGATTTTTTATTGGGGAATTGGGGGGATGGGAAAAGTGCTGGGGAATTGAGGGAAGGAGAACAGACAAGTTGCTGTTTTGTTCTTCAATCTAGTTGTGGAGGACGTTGCTTCACTGGGCCAAGTTGGCACCATCATTGCACTCTTCCCGGGAGAGGCAGATCAGTCGCCGGCTTCGGGACGGCCGCTCACTGCGGCTGCTGGCAGATCACGCTGGCTGCTGGCTACACACAGTAGCCCATGGCAACCCACTGCCACAGGGGCTGCAGCCTACGCCATCGCAGGCGACTCTCAGCAGCCCAGCTACAGGTTGAGCTGCTGCTCAGCATCTTAGCTGTGGAGGGCAGTGTCACTGGCCCTCATATGTGGGATCAGAACCGGGGCCCTCTGGCATCCCAAGCCAGTTCTTAACCATCGCGCCACTCGGCCGGCCCCGAGCTCAACTTTTTAATGAGAGCTAGAATATCGGGATAGATATTCTAGAATTCAGAATATCACCCGTTAGATGCTCTGAGTAATCTATGTGACTAATAAAAACCCTGTATAACACATATCTTTCTTCTCACTAAATCATAAAGTGATTTGAACGCCTGTGAAATACAATTCAAAATGAAGACTGATGTTTACAGATACCTGTTTACAGGTAAGGTGTGTTCTAGTGATCTTGCTTCACACCAAGGACCCTTTTGAGGGTCCGCATACAGAAGTGACGACTGGCAATGGATTGCTAAAGGAGAGAGGTGTCCAGGAGTTGGCCACAACATATTTGGGCTTGTGGTCTGTCGACCAGGTCCACCTTCCGAGTTATTGACACTGCTGGGAATGCTGTAATTCATCACAGCAGGGCTATAGAATGCCATGGCCGAATATTCATGGTGGCTGTCTACATAGGGGGAAGGTATATATATGGGGCCGTGCTCCCGGGGAAGGACTGGTTGACCGCAGTTGTAGGAGGCAGGAGAAGTAAGGCTAGATGGTGAGTTTTTGATATCCATGTCTTGGATAGGTAACATCTGAGAAAACTCCTTGTGAGAAGAGCCACAAAGGGACATTATGATGTTCTCAGAGTCTCATGGGCAGGTATAATGGCTGGAAAGAATAACAAAAGACATTTCTAAGTTAGTGAGAGCTACAGGCGTACCTGTTCAAAGTGTTCAACATTTTTACTAAACACACACATTTGTATGAACTTAGAAATACATCCTGAAAGATATACATGAAAATATTAACATCAGAGGGAAGGGAATATGTGGCACAGAACTCTCATTTTTTACTTCATTTACTTTTTTATTGCTTTTTGTTGTGGTTGTTAACCACAAAAATATTTTTTACCATGAGAATTTATTATAAAATGCTTTCTAAAATTAAAAACACAGGAATAAATTAAAATGACAATATATTTTTTTAATCTGGAACACATTTATTTTAAAGTTCTTATGAAAAAATAAACAAGAATAACCAGAAAAACCCTGAAAGAGCAGATCAATGAGTAGGGCCAGCATTAATAGATACTCAAATACATTGTGAATTGCCAATAATAAAAAACAAGGAATAGACAGGTCAATGTAACTGTGTCAGTTATCAATTCATTGCCTCTCAGCTTCCAATGCACCCATTAATATATGCTTTGTAATAAACAACGGAATTCCTGTAGTATTTAAAGTGTGACAATGCTAACCATTATCAGTAGAGGGCGCTGCAGGGACACTGCAGGAAGACGGGGCTGGTAGTATAAGTGTGAGAACGTGCAATAGATCCTGGCCCAGCCATCCGCAATACGGTCCCACTGCAACCTTAGGGCCTCATTGTGGAGATAACCTTTCCACAGTCACCTGTTGAGTCTGTGACCCGAGGAGTCACACGCTGAGAATCGTTCCTTCTGCAAGCCTCCTCACTCCACGTGACCTGCAGCTCTGAAGGCCTTCTGCCCTGAGGGGCACCTGGCCTCCTGGGGTCTGTCACTGATGACTGGCTCCCTGCCTGCAACTCCAGACCAGCTCCGGCCTGGCGAAAATCTCTGCCAGTTAATGGCAGAACCACCTTTTCCCCTGACGCCTGATCCCTTCTAAGTTTGTCCTTTCTTGGGTACTCTCTCTCAGCTCTAGGGTACCATATAAAGTTTCCTTATATCTTATAATTAATTAAATGTGATAAGAGATTAAGTATAAGTAATTCTTTATATTAAATCTCCCCCGTTGAACCTATTGTGTGCTTTCTATCTCCTGATTGGCCCCAGACTGCTACATAACAGAATGGAAAATCCCAAAAGAGCAAACCTAAAAATTCAAAACTTTTTAGAAATTTGGTGTATGATAAAGGTGGCATCTCAAATCACTGGGGAAACAATTGACAACAGAATTGCCAGTGGAGGGCCAGCTGAGTGGCACATTGGTTAGGAGTTGGCTTGGGATGCCAGCTCTGGGCAGCATGGCCCCAGTTCAGATCCCACATGAGGGCCAGTGACGCTGTACCCTCTACAGCTAAGATGGTGAACAACAGCTCGACCTGGAGCTGGGCTGCCCTGAGTCTCCCGCAACGGCGTAGGCTGCAGTGGGCGTGAGCTTTTGTGAGCTACCGTGAGCCACCGTGAGCAGCCATCCAATGGCCAGCAAGTGATTGCCTCACCCGGGAAGAGC